AGTCACAGTTTATACAGTTGCAGTCACAATGTTTATGTAATTTTTTTTTCTTCAGTTAACGTTATTTTGTGAAGACTTTCCCCTGACCTGATATTTACTATTTTAGTGACAGAGGAGTATGCCATGGTGTGCCATAATTGGGTTAACTGTGTTTTTATTGTTGGACACTTTAGTTGCTTCCTGTTTTTCAGTATTATGAATAGCACTGCCATGAACCTTTTTATACCTGAAGCCTTTTTCTTCTTTTGAATTATTTCCTTACTGTAAATTCTAGGAAGTGAGTTATACAGTCAAAGGATATAATAATTTTTATGGCTCTTGTTATGTATTGCCTAATTGCCATTATAAAAAAAAAGGCTATATGCATTGTAACTTTGAATAGATATTATTGTTGTTAGGCTCATGAGAACATCCAGGCTCCAGGAGGTCAAGACATCGGCTCAAAGTGTAGCTAATTGCTGATGGAGTCAGGGTTTGAGCCCATGTGATTTCTGATTCCTGGCCCCATGTTTTTATTGTACTACAAATATTCATAACAGTTTGTTGTTAGTAACTCTAAGAAATCTAACTATCGATAAGCCACATAGGCTTGTTGCAGCCTTAAGTGTAAAGCTTGGGACAGAAGGCCTATTTTTTCCCCCCACAAGTTTATTTAGAAAGTCACAGAGGTGGTAGTAGAAGTGCGCCATAGAAGAAATGGGCTCAGGGAACACATCAGTGAACCAAGAAGGGCCCTCGGAGCTGAGTAGAAAGACTGAGGCGAGGAAGACTCGCCTAGGGGAAGGGGCTGGGGTGGGGAAAAGGCATGGGGGTGCCAGAGAGGGAGAGCGAGCTGCTGAAGGTATTTTTAAAAACATGTATTTATAAGGTGCCACTGAAGAAATGAGAGATCTTTCTTACACCGTGTTATTTGCGTGGCGTAGGATACAGAGCCCTGTTGGGGCTGTGTGTTTCCTCCAGTGTAGCTTTTCTTGCAGCTGCCTTGGAATTCACTTCAGGGCCAGTTTATGAGCCACCCCCAAAAATCTGCCTGGTGTCTTAGCGTCATACCTTGTATTTGACCAAAAATGGTATTCCTGAGCTTGCGGCCCCACCTGATTCACCACACTTGGATCCAGATGATGTTGGGTTCTTTCCAGAAGTCAGATCCTTCCTGGGAGGATGAAGGTCTGCCAGCTCTGAGCACGTTGAGGGGAAAAAAAAGGTGGGGGGTGGGGGTGGGGCTCAGGCTTCAAAGCCTATTCCTAAAGAAGGCAAGTGGTTTGAAAAGGTGGTCACCTTGTGGGCACAGGCACAGGACCTTCCTCAGTGACCAGGTTGAAAAAGAGACAATATACATTTGCTTAAGCCCCAATCTGGTTAGTTAGAGGTCATTTTTGTTTTCCTTCAGTCACTCCTCCTCCATGTTGGAAACATGTTGCACAGCTGCTGTGGAGCCAGAGTGGAAGGAGGCCTTAGGGCAGTGTCTCTAGGCAGAGCCATGGGTGTAATTTTAAATCTTCTAGTAGCCACATTTAAAAAGTAAAAAGAAACATGGAATTATTATTTTTTTTATTGTGGTAAGATATATGTAACATAAAATTTAACATTTTAACTATTTTTAAGTGCATAATTCAGTGGTATTCGGAATGTTGGGTAACCATCACCACCATCTATTTCCAGAACTTTCCATCACGCCAAACCGAAACTCTGTACCCATTAAACAATAACTCCCCACTTCCCTCCTTTAGCCCCTAGTGACTTATATTTTAGTTTCTGTCTCTGTAAATTTGCCTACTCTAGGTACCTTATGTAAGTGGAATGATACAACATTTTCTTGTGTATGAATTATTTCATTTAGCATAATGTTTTCAGGGTTCATCCATGTATCAGAATTTTATTCCTTTTAATAGCTGAATAATATTCCTTTGTATGTATATACCACATTTTGTTTATCTTTTTACCTATTTGATAGACTTTTGACTGCTTCCATTTTTTTAATTTCTTTTTTTAAAAATTAAAAAAATCCTCATCCGAGGATACATTTACTGATTTGAAAGAGAGAAGGGGTAGGGGGAGAGAGAGAACATTGAGGTGAGAGAGAAACACATGAGAGAGTTGACGGGGTCGCCTCTTGTACGTGCCCCGACCGGAGACCGAACCATCACCCTAGGCATGTGCCCTGACCGAGAATCGAACCTGTGACCTTTCAGTGCACAGGATGACACTATCCACATTGGCCAGGGCTGTTTCCATTTTTTGGATATTATGAATAACGCAGCTGTGAACACTGATATACAAGTATCTGTTTGAGTCCCTGCTTTCGATCCTTTCTGGTACCTAGGAGTGGAAGTGCTGCACCATATGGTAATTTTGTGTTTAACTTTGAGACACCACCAAACTTTTCCAGTTTGTCTTTTCACTCTCTTAATAGTGTCCTCTGATGCACAAAAGTTTTTAATTCTTATGAAAGTCCATTTTATTTTTTCTTTTGTTGCCTGTGTTTTTGGTGTCACATCCAAGAAATCATTGCCAAATCCAGTGTCACATGTTTTCTTCCATAAGTGTTATAATTTTAGCCCTTAAGGTTAGACCTCTGATCCATTTTGAGTTGATTTTTGTGCCTGGAGTAAGGTAGGTGTCCAGCTTCATTCTTTTGCATGTGGATATCCAGTTTTCCTAGCACTATTTGCTGAAAAGACCGCCTTTTCCATATTAAATAGTCTTGTAATCCTTGTTCAGAAATGAATTGGCTATATTCAAGGGGGGGCCTCCAAAAAACCGGAATTATCTTCTGGAGGGCGGGCCCCTTGTAGTACAGGCTTCGCCCTCCAGGTCAGTGTTCTAGGAACCCATCTGTGTCAGTGCACCAGCTGGCGTTGTTGCGAGAGGCTGTGTCCAGCTTCAGTGAATTTTTCTTGACTCTTTCAGTGCATTTGCCCTTTTTGTGATGGGTGATTTATAAGTGCACCTGCCCACGCCGCGCTAAGTGTTCAGCAGATTTTAACCCAAAACAACATGACCCCTGTGCCCTATCCTCTTTATTCACCGGATCTCGCCCCAAGAGACTTTTTTTTTGTTTCCCCCAATGAAAAACGCCCTCAAAGGGAAATATTTTTGCCGATGTGAAAGAGGTGAAACAAAAAATGGCAGAAGTACTAAAAGTTAACAAAATCAAGGAGTTCAGAAAAGGTAGAAACAGTAAAAAAAAAATGTCTCAATAGGTGTATTGCGTCAAATGGAGCGTGCTTGGAAGGTTACGGAAGTTTAAGATGGTAAGAATAAGTACACAATTTTTTAATAACTAAATTCTGGGGTTTTTTGCCCACCCGCCCCCGCCATATGTGAGGATTTATTTCTGGGCTTTCTATTCTGTTCCATTGTCCTAGATCCTCATATCAGTACCACACTGTTTTGATTATTGTAGCTTTGTAATGCATTTTGAAATCAGAAAGTGAATCCTTCAACTTTGTTCTTTTTTTCAAACTCTGTCTGGTGTTTAAGATCAGGTGAAATTAATAACATAATTAACTCAATATGTATTTCAACATATAATCAATATAACACATTATTAATGAGCTATTTTGCATTCTTATATTCATCCTATCTACTAAATTGAGTGTGGTTTTAACTTAACAGCCATTCTCAGCTTGTACTAGCTGTATTTCAACTCTCAATAGCCACATGTGACCCTTGGCCACCGTATTAGCTCAGATTTAGCAGAAAATCTCATTGTGGCACAAATCTCTGAAAACACAAAGGGCTTTGGAGTCAGGTGGGTCTGGTTCCAAAGTAGTTATGCCCCTTTTTCATCGAGGTCCTCAGAAGGAAGCCACTTGCGGGTGTTTTGGTAGCAGGGGAGCAGTTCAGTCATACCGGGGGTGGGGGCAATAAGAAAGACATGCTGGGCAAGTGGCATTTGAACTCAGCCTTGGCAGTAGAGTCGGGGTTTCACCAAGCAGTAAAAATGGGGAAGGGCATTCCTGGCAGAGTATGCAGCTTGGGTTGAGGTCCAGGACTGTGGAAGAGCCCACTTGGAGAATTACAGGCAGTTCTTGCAGCTCAACTGGGGCGTTAATAGTGGGGGGCCCTGGTGAAAGGAGACGCGACAGGTGGGTCGGTGCCAGACCTCCCACCACTGCCCCTGTCGGCCATGTCCCCACGTCTCATATTTGGTTACTGGCCGTAGCCCGGCACCGTTCTCCGTGTCCACTCTGCGCCCCTCCTCCGCTCATTAGTCACTTCTCTGCTCAAAACCCTGCTGTGGCTTTACATTTTACTCAGTAAAACGGAGAGAGTGAGGGTCCTGCAGGGTCAGCCCCCACTCCTCTCTGGCCTTCCCTCCTTCCTCTCTCCCTCTGGAACCCCCTCTCTGGCCATTTTGGACTCAGAGCCCTTCCCCAGGGCCTCTGCACTTGCTTTTTCTCTGCTGGGCTGTGTCCCCTGAGGTGTCCCAGTGGCTCACTCTCACACGTCGTCTCTCTGCCCCTTTATTCCTGTCTCTCCTTCAGAGAGCACCTCCTGTCACCCTGTATAAAATAAAACGATGCCCTCCTTTAGTTTTTCTCAAAACAGTTGTAACGAGCTGGCATTTCACATCTGGATGTGTTCTTTGCCTCTGTCCTGAGATGTAGGGGCCCCAGGACAGGGGTACGTCTGTTTTGCTCACTCCTCAGTGCTTGGTGTTGAGTGTTTGTTGAATGAATGACTGGATGAATAAACGAACACATAAACAAAACCTGAAACACAGCAGGCCTTAGGTAAATGTATGTTGATTGGAGATTCCTGTTGAAATGTTTGCATTTACTTATTTACTTTTCCTAACTTTATAATTGGAAAATTTTCAGACATACCAAAAACTGAAAGAATGGTTCAATGACTCTCCATATGTCCTCCACTTAGAGTCAAAAACTGCTAAGACTGCACCACAGTTGCTTTATATGTTCTTGTATGTGTGTGTGTGTGCCTGGGACCATTTAAAGCTCAGTTGTAGAAACGTGACCCTTACCCTTTGCCTCTAGACTCTGCTCTGGAGTGTGGTCAGCCAGAGGAGACCCAGGCAGCCCGCAGCCGAGGCCATGGCCTCCAACCTGGACTTCTCACCTCCCGAGGTCCCGGAGCCCACTTTCCTGGAGAACCTGCTACGGTACGGACTCTTCCTTGGGGCCATCTTCCAGCTCATCTGTGTGCTGGCCATCATCATACCTGTTCCCAAGTCCCGCGAGGCGGTGAGTCCTTCTCTGTGAGCCTCAGCTCCTCAGGCTGGGCTCCGGGCACTAACACTAGGTATCACGGCAGTGGCGCTCAGGAGGGACTACGCTGGGCTTTATTGATAACATCGTGTCTCCAGATTCCAACCTGGTAGCATTGAGCCAGATGGTTCATACTTTATTTGTTCCTACATGCGTTAGGCAGAGTTTTAGTGAGTGCCTGCTACATGTCACACTGTGCTGAAAGATTGGCGTCTGCCCTCAAGGAGCTTTGGTCTTTGGGGGTAGGGCACATCTCAAACAAACAGTCACATGTTTCCTGAGAAGTACAGGAGGCTGTATGACAAGGGGGAGGACTCAGGGACTGGACTACCTCGCCCCCTCCCCGCCGCCCCCGGGGGAGAGGGATGTGCATGTGCGAGTGCCCGAGGAATGAAGGAGCCGGCCGGGTCGAGGACCTGAATGAAGGTGATGGTGTCCGGAGCCCAGAAGCCGCGTGGTGAGACCTGCAGCTCAGGGAGGTGGCAGGGCCCAGAGGGTTTTAAGTAAGAAAGTGACGTGATCCGATTGGCTCTTTTGTTGCTTTTGACACTTATTCTATAGCTGTCCACCCTCCTTCCACTACCACCCCTGACTGGGAATCGAACCGTTGACCCTTTGGTTCACAGGCTGGCACTTAATCCACTGACCCACATCAACCAGGGCTAATATTAGTAGTTTTTTTAAATACTTAAATGGTCTCAGTGAGCACTCCATCAAGTTGTGTGAAATATTGTCTTCCAGGGAAGGCCCTTAGAGATTGATTGCCTAGAGATTTTATTGGGGACAGGTCACATAAGCACCCTCTGGCCACCACAGACTGAGATTCCAGACTTCCAGAAGGAAAGCAGGTGTTCAGAATAAACCTTATTGTTTGTACAGTTTAGACACAGTGAGCCACTCTTATCAATTCTGGGAATGGTGGAAACCACCCAAAAGTCACTGCCCCAGATGCCAGCCAAGGGCCAACCTTACAAGCTGTCTTTTCGAAGGACAGCAGTTTTTTTAAATGTTAACTCTATTCTGCACACCTGCAGTATACTTGTTATACTTTAAAATAACGATATTGTGCCCTGGCCAGACATCTCAGTTAGTTAGAGTGTTGTCCCCGTACAGCAAAGTTCGGTTCCTGGTCAGGGCACACGAATCAACCAACAAATGCATAAATAAGTGGAACAACAAGTCTCTCCCCCTCCCCTCCCCCACCCTTTCCTCTCTCTCTAAAAATAATTAATTAAAAAATAAAATAACTATATTATTTTTCACAACTAACAGCAAGACTCAATGAAATTTAAAATTTCTTTGTCGTTCTTTTTCGGCCCACAGATGATGTCCTAGTGGGGATGTCTGGTCGGAGGACTATGTTCAGTAATTCTTCCAATCAAACAGGTATTTTCCGACCATGACATACAGTTAGGTTAATTTGCTTTAATTTGTTTTTAATTTTTTGGGATTTTTATCCTTTTGGATTTAATTAAAAAGTTATAGAAAATATTTATATACAACATTTTCCAAAGTCAAAACTATATGAGAAGATACAGTCACAGAAGTTTCCTTTAATCTCAGCATCCTCCACACTTTCCCTTTCCTCCCTCCATATAGGTACCATTTTTATTATTTTGATTTATCCTTCCTTTGTTTCTTTTTGAAAACATTGGCAAATGCATTTGTGTGTGATGTATATATTTATATTACCCCTTTGATACACACAGCATAGCACACTAGTAAACACAGTTGTACAACTTTCTTTTTGTACTTAACAGCGTACAGTATGTTCTGGAGAGCCACGTGCCTTGGAGGTGACTGTGTCTCAGAGACCCTGCCTGTGTGGCTGGGAGGGTGGTGGGGATTTCCTAGGCGCAGTGGGGAACCGGTGAAGGAGCAGGCTTGGGTGCGCGCAGGGCAGGAGCTTGCCGAGTTCAGTGTTAGACAGGCGCCTTGAAGGTGTGCAGGCCTGTATCAGGAAAAGCACCTGGGCTGTGTGTGGATCAGCGTTTGGGTGTTGATGAGAAGCAGCTGAAGCTGTGGGAGAGGGTGAGGCCTCCCGTGGAGCGAGTGTGGAGCGAGGTGAGGGGAAGGTGTAGGTCGGAACCTCGAAGGCGCTCTAGCGCTTAGGGGACAGGCAGGGAGGGGCAGCCACCAAGGCGGGGGAAATCCTTGGTGAGCCTGGGCGGGCTTGTGGCCTCTGGGTTGACTGTCCAGCTCTATTTCTTATTCTGGTATTTTGAGAAGGAGGTCATGATTGGAGTTTCTCCATCCACACTTGTTTCACATCCTAAAAACGTCATCCCTGTGCTCTGGCGCTCTGTCCTCAGACACGGCATGCTATTGGGCATTACAAATAACAAACATTTTTATTGTCATTGGCCACTGATGAAGCCTTTTAAGAGTCCCGCGGGAGGGAGGTGAGGAATGTTCCTGTTTCATAGGCAGAGGTGTCCAAGTCAGAGGCGTGTGCCCTTTTGGCGAGCTGCTGCCCGCCTCCTGTGGCGTCTTAGCCCTCCCAGGCCAGCCACAGAGGCCGGGGTCACTTCAGCAAACTTTCAGAAGCCAGGGAGGGGAGGGGGGGTGGCACGTTGCTGATCTCTGAGGTTTGTAGTGGCACCGTGGGCCGAGGTCGTCTGAGACAGGGAGGTGACAAAGCATCCACAGTATGCCTCCATTCCCCCTCCCCCCACCTGCTCTGCAGTTTGGAGGTTAATTTGGGACAACAGCCTCATCTTTTAAAATATAAATATAGTACATAAGCTTTCATTTTAATTTGTTTTGCAGTTTAGGAGAGTAAGGCTCACACAAGTGAATTGTCTTCATAACTGAAGCTTACTGTTTTAGCTACTCTTTCAATTTTTCAATGGATGAGTAGCAAGAAAAACAGTACCATGAATTTAACTTTTCGTTGGGGCATCACACCAGCAAATGGCCCCCAGTCCTGCAGGGATTCTACTGCCAGTTTTTTTTCAAACTCCTAGAGAAGGGAGAGGAAACACAGGGTTCTGTGTGTAGACACTCTTACAGGGAAAGGCAGGGTGCCGAGACAGTGCTCCGAGGCTGTGCTTCGCAGCTCACTGGGATTTGGAATTTGGATGGGGAGGGGGAAAGATGGGGGTTTGAACTTGGGGCCAGGGAGCTTAGGAAGGAAGGGAGTCTGTGAGAATGGGGACAGTGTGAGGGACTCTGGGCAGCCCAAGGGCGGGGGGGTGGTACCTGGAAATGGAGGGTGGCCTGAGTTGGGAGAGGACAGAGGTGGGGGTGGGAGGACCCAGAGAACAATCTTGTTCTTTTTGCCTTGTTGCTTAGGGCAAAACCATCCTTCTTGCTTGGCCTATAGAAAGCAACAAGGTTTATTAGTGGCTTTTTGGGTCAAAAGATAGTATTTTTGGCTCCAGATGATGGGAAAGCCTTTGAAAAGCAAAAGAATGTCTTTCCTGTTGTTCCAGTAAGCTGATTTTTTTGCAACTAGTTTGTGACTTCAGTGCTTAGGAGATTATTTAAAGCTCTTTTGGGGGTAATCAGGGAAGAAAAAAGGAATACATACAAATGCTTCCTCCCCCGCCCCCTTCCTTTTCTTAGTAGGAGCAAGAACCAATTGGTAAACTCAAAACCAAAGTCCCTAGAATCCTAAGCCAAATGAGGACTTTTCTCATTGACAAGTCATTAAACTAAGGCCCAAGAAAACAAACATTTGTTGGAGCCTGGGCTGCACACGTAGAGATTCTGACACAGTTGTTCTCTGAAGCCTTGGAGCAGTGTGTTCTTAAAGTGCCCAGGTGGTTCTGTATGCAGCCACTGGTCCAGTCCTTAGGCCATTTCCTGAAGCTCAAACTAATTTTGGGAGGACAGGAGGCGTTCAGCTCTACATGTGTTAAGTGTGAAATAATGGCAAGACATCCAAGTGCTAAAGGACGGTGGGCGTGGGGGAGCCAGTGAGAAATTGGGAATAGACACCCGGGAATTATTTTTTCAACATAGCATTATTTCTTGAAACCCTGAGAATGAATTGCTGAGCTCTTCAAGGGAAATTAACTTTCAGGAGAGGCCTGAACTTGTGGCATTGCTTGAGCTACTTGAAGTAGCTTCTGTGTAGTGTAGATACTCTGAAAAGATGGGGGTGCTGTTCCCGAGCAGGGAGGTAGTGGGGCCTCGGGAAAGGGTGAACCCAGGACACCATCGCTCACCATCTGCATCCCCTCTGCCTCTTCGCCCTGTCTGTCTCCTGCCTTTCACTTCTCTTTCCCCAGCCCTGCTTCCTCTGTGTGCTATCTCTGTGGTTAAGAAGGAACATGGTCATGAGCAGCTCCCAGAGTCCACGTCCTTCAGCTGCAGCGTCTGGAGGCTGTCTTCCTGCTTGGTCCCAGTTTCTGAATCCCCAGGGAAGGAACTGTAGCTGACCCAGCTTGGGACAGCTATGGCCAGTGTTGGGGCAGGTGAGGGTCTGGTGGAGTGACCTCTGGGGCAGAGGGGAAGGTCAGTTCTCAAAGGAGCAGGAGCGCCGTGCAGACAAAGCTGGGGTCTCCATTCCTCTTGCCCTCTCAGGACACTGGGCAGAGGACCAGGAGACTGCGGTCTCCCTGAAAACCACCCAGTGGTTCAAGGAGAGCACAGGGAAAACCCAGGCCCCACAGAGACGGGTGATGAGAACAATTGGGTGATTGAGAAGAAGCTGCTTGGTTTGATAACGATGCTGTGTTCAGGCTGCTGTCCTTCAGAATTCCTAAAAGGGGGCCCCGAGCCCCTAGGGGGTTCCTAGATAGGCTTTAGAAGTCTGTGAGCTTCCTGAAATCATGTAGAAAAATGCGATGTTTTCACGTTCAGGCACATTTTCTGGGAAGATAGTCTTTTGCTTTTTTCAAAGTGGAGTGCCATCGTAAGGGGCAAGGAGTGGGACTGAGCCCCAGTCCCAGGAGCTTCAGGAGTGGGTCGTGGGGCCGTACAGGTAGGGGGCCTGTCTTCCCTCCCTTCTCAAAAGCCTGCCTGAGCTG